CAAACCTGTTTGGAGCTTCAAGTATCAGGGGAAGGCCTCTCAACCAAGCAGCTGTGTAACTAAACCAAGTTCTGCAACTGCCTCCAAGAGTTTGACTCCTCAGATATCCTTTACTGGTCTTGTCATGCTCTAGAAGAACAGCTTTGGTGAGTATGTATGTGTGAATAACATAAGGGTGGGTGAAAGGAGTGTGTACACAGACTGCAGCTGGGATACTTGTAGTAAGTGTCACTGGAGAAAATGGTGGCTTTTGATGCCAGACCATTTGGGCATTATCACTCACCATCTCCCCCCCTAATCCATGTGTAACAGGCTGTTATCAAACCATCTTTTCTCATCCATCAGGGAATATTAACAAAATAAGTCCAAAATAACTTGCCAGAGAAAACTGAGAGAGAAAACTTTTAGGGAGATGTTTGGCTGACTGTCCCTGTCCAATCCGTGCTCTTCAAAGTGTGCAACCCACAGGACTCGAAGATCTGTAGTATCTGCTATCTGTAATCTGATCAGCTGAGACCCATGTAAAGAACCCAGTCTGCTTTTGTTCAAGTACTGGTAAAGAGCAGAATCACAGTCACTGAAGCCACATTCAGGTTTAATAGCTGTTGCGCTTATTTGAACTTCACTCAGTAGATATACCTGAGTGCGTAACTTACTTGAATGCTGCTGTAAGTATTCCCTAACACCTCTACCCACTTTTAGAAAGTGCTGGTGTGTAATATGTGGTTTTCTTTATGCAAATGATTTGCCCACAGAGATGAGATTGTTCCATTACGCAAACCTACGTTCCTTCAGCAGGCTGTGAACAGACAGGCCTGTGCTGGAATAGGGCCCATCTCCTACATGTAGGGGAAATAAGCACTGCTAGAAAGCATGAACTCCAGATGACTCCTGAAGTGTTTGGACGTTGACTGAGGCAAACTGAATGTAAAATTAGTCTTGACTGTTCTGAAGTCTCATCTTGCAGCAACATGGCCTAGCAAAGGCCTAGCAAGCCTCATTTTAGCCTGCCTGCCTGGGTTTTCTACAGAAGAGTAGCTTGATTCTCTCTCTCTCTCTTTTCCTCACTTAGGTCAACCTATAAACCCAGAGCAGAAAAATTAATGACGAGCTATTTATTACAGCAATGACAAAGCAGCTTCTTATAATCTAGTCATGCTGACATTCTTATTTACATCTTTCTCCTGCTATCTTGGTGATGTGGCAGTCTTGAAAGTGCCAAAATCTGACCAAGGACATCTTGTCACTTTTCTTAATCTTAACTGTAATAATTTTCATCCCTAAGGTTAAATGACAGATTCTTTCATTTGTCCAGAGTCAGTTCTTGTGTCACTAACATCTTGGAAATGCATCCCTCAACTGCAGATCACTGCAGACAGATTATTTTTGAAGTAATAGAGAAGTTTCACAGGGTCTAAATGGTCTTATGGACCACAGCAAGACCTCTGACCTGATAGAAGCACAAAGAGAGAAATGAAAAGCAGTGACATGGCTTTCAGCTTCACTTCAATTCCTAAAGGACCAGAACAACCCAAGGGAACACTTTAAAAAAATAAATAAATATTTCTGTGGGAGCTCTTTAGCCCACAACCTGGCACCATCTGTTAATCTTTGTTCTGCTCTACCAGATATCCAATTTCTGGTGTCCCAGAAGCTGAACCCTGCAAATTTAGATCAAAAGTGGGAGCTGAAAATGGCTCTCCAATAAACGTCTTCCAAATAACAAATATACATTTCTCTGACTGGACCACAGTTGCCAATTGATTATTTAGTCTTAGGTGCAAGGCAAGGAGAGAAACAGTCTTATGGCAGTTGACTGACATGTCCTTGTATAGCTAGGTCTAGAGTGGTCCCATCTAGGCTGCTTGATGGTTCTGTTTTTTTGTTTTTAATAATGTAATTATTTCTCCTCAGTCCCTCTTGCAGGGAACTGTGTTGCTCAAATAGATTTATTGCCTTTATTTGAGTTTTGACTCCAGAGGAGAGGTTTGCAGAACAGAAATCCTTTCTTGGCGATGAGTGCCATGTTGACCTCTAAAATAACAAACCAAAAAAAGCTGCTCCTCATTTGTATCCAGCTTGAAAGTCAACTCTGACTTTTTGTCTTTATACAATGACAAAATCTTTCTTGGCGATGAGTGCCATGTTGACCTCTAAAATAACAAACCAAAAAAAGCTGCTCCTCATTTGTATCCAGCTTGAAAGTCAACTCTGACTTTTTGTCTTTATACCTACTTGAATAAATGTGATTTATGTGAAGAAACTGTTTACTGTCTTCTGATTAGCTTAGCACTCCCAGGACCTTTTCCTTCCATGCAGTTTTATCACAGCATGGTGAAGGAGGCTGAGAGGCAAACACAAGCCATATGCTGGCATGTCCCAGTACAACTGGAGGAGCCCCCCTGAGCAACTGTTAATAACAATACCATTACGTCTGTTCAGTGGCTTGGAAGCATGTAGAGAATACACATCTTACAGTAGTACTTCATTCTGTGTTGGACTCGAACAATGGGGCTGCAATCTTCACCACCACATACAGGAACTGAGAGCTTCCTAGATCTAGGGAGAAATGTTTTTGCCATAAGATAAGGTCCAAAAAAAGGAACAGTGTCTCTACAGTGTGTCAGAGTGTGGAAGGTTTCAACAAAACTTGGCACTCATTATGATTACTCTAGGTCTTCAGGACAAACTGCCTTCTGACCACTCACCTCCAGATCTTCTATGTCATGGCAAGTAAAGAGAATAGAACTGAAGTGGTTATTTACTTACACTGATTTGGGAAAAGGTGTCAGCATCTGCACAAGTAACTTTTTTAATTGTGGTGAAATGGAGGGTTATGGTCAATGGAATTGTTTGGGTCCCCAGGTCTTCATACCTGAGGAGTGGAAGCAGTCTTAGTGGGATCCCTTCCTTTATGGCTCACCTGTATGACTTTGCAGTAGCGGCAGTTAGCATTTCTAGGCAGTGAAAAGCAGTGCATGCTGAAGAGCTGAGATAGACTCCATGATGTAATATACACAGACAGAATGAGCAGTTAGTGAAATGGCATCCAAGGTGCTACTGGTTCTGTGTGTGGTGTATCATGGAAGGGTGTTACATGACGACATGTAAAAACATTTAAAGCGGGCTGACCTACAATGCAGTTTGGACGTAATGGATATTTGTCTGCATTGAAATTCAGTCCAGCTGGTTCAGTAAGCTTAATTCTGAAACCAACTGCAAAACGCATAAGTTAGAAGTTTAGCATAAACTTTTGCATATAATGAAGTAATGTGACTTGTGAGCATATATCATGTCCAAAATCAGAAAGCTGCTGCTGAAAATTATATTTTATTCATATCTGTATTCATTTGTGGAGTGAAGAAAAAAGTTAAGCAAGATTACAAAGACTCATGGTAAGAGAGAATACCAGTAATGAAAATGCTACTTCCAAAGGACTGTACTCAGACAGTGAAGGGGTAGCAAAAAATAAAATAAAATAAAATAAAATAAAATAATTCTCAGACCTCGACATGTAACTCTGTTGTACAAAAAATCAGTTAAAAAGGATTATACAAGTGACATATGACCAACTTGTGGTCTTAAAGGAAATAATTCTCAGTACTCCGAATTTTAGCTAACATCTAAGGTTACAAGTCTGTATATATGTTTATCTGATCAATTTGTTTCCACTGCACAAAAGAAAATTCTTGAAAAAATCCATCATGAAATGTGTTTTTGCAGCAGATCAATGGGACAGCTAAGATTAATAAGAGTTGCAGGACCGAACAGTGGAGGAGTTGTGCAACAGGACAATTACACATTTCTTTGTAGTAAATCAATTACTTGGGTTCTCCTTGATCATTCAGGTTAAAAGGATAATAGAAGCAAGACGGACAGTAAGACCTTTTAATGATTAATAGTTGCTTTGGAGTATATTTTTGGTACTGTAGAAGTAGCTATTAGTTTCTAATTACTTTGAAGGGTGAAAAGACAGGAAAATACTTTTTAGTCTTTATCAAACTGCATCAAAGAAGAGTGTAAAAGTGCACCTCTAATCAAAGATTCACTTCATTAGTTCCATTTTCTGTGATTCCTTGGTTATTTTTCCCATTTCTCTGGTGGGTGACCATACATTAAGCCTTTGGCAGGCACGTAAATTCACAAATTGCCATGTTTGCATGGGAGATGTGGGCATATAGGAGTGTGGATATGCCTTGGAGTAACATTCATTTGTGACTGGCTTTAGTAAGCCACTTGTTTCTTTCCATTGTTCTGCATATGTACAACTTCTGATTCCCAGCATGCAGAACCTGCTGGCTACCTTAATTAGTTGTAGGCTTCATTTGAATAAATGAATTCTGTATATTTGCTCAAAAATTGTCTTTATAATAATACAAGAGAGATGGATATGGGTTAATGGTGCTTTCTTGTCAGTACACCTAAGGTAGAAACAGTCTCTCTGGGATATGGGTAAAGAAGATTTGGCAGGGATATTGGTGGCAAGGTGCATTTGTATTGATGCATTTGCATTGATGAAAGCTTGCGTTATTTCTGTGTTCATGATCTGTATATGGGAAAAACAAGTCAAAGGGTCTAATAAATTTTTGGGACACTACGCTAAAAAACGCTCTGCTATATACTAACATGCTGTGGGGACTGTTCTGCTATCTGAGAAGAGTGGATGTTACCTAATGGAACAAAGCAGAGTAGTGTCAGAATCAAATCTGTTTACATTGCCTCATCAGTTATCCCAGACATCACCAATAGGTTATAAAGAACAGTAGTTGTATTCTCAGAATGCCTGACACATGCATGCTTTATTATATAGTAATGAAATGGTTTCTTTGGGAAATGAAGAACTGAACTGCTACAAATTGGCTTTGATTTTTTTTTCCAGTAAATTAAGATACTCATATATATGTCTAAGTATTTGGAAGTGGATTTTTAGTGCACTTTAGAGGAATTTTAGATTTTTTTCCTGACCCTGTATGCTGTTTTTCTTCCGTTCAATTTCCCAGCTGCCTGCCCGGTACTGTGCAGTGGCAATGGTCAGTACTCTAAAGGAACCTGCTTATGCTACAGTGGCTGGAAAGGTCCAGAATGTGATGTACCCATCAGCCAGTGTATTGATCCCTCGTGTGGAGGTCACGGTTCCTGCATCGAAGGGAACTGTGTCTGTTCTGTTGGCTATAAAGGAGAAAACTGTGAAGAAGGTAATACTGTAGTACATTTTCTTTCTATGTTGTGAGTTTCTTTTGAAATGCTTAGGAAAAAATAAAATAAAATTTTAAATGCAGACCTACACTAACAGATGATTGTAAAAGAGAAGTAAAAATGTAGTCCATCACAATTTTACTGATCTATGAAAGTTTAAACTAAACTTCTGATTTTTATATACATTGTTTTGCGGTACTAAGAGTACCACAAGTAAACCTGAATAATTCCTTTGCTGAAGAGTGAAAATAAATCTTTTCTTATGGATTACATTTATTGAACAATTTAGAAGTAAAATGCAGAGGAAAAAGTGGTAGTAGTAGAGAAAATAGTAGAACTGCAGCTCCACACAAAGCAAACAGATAAGTCACTTTTAAGACAGAAATTGGTGAGACAGATTTGGAAGACTTGGGTGTTACAGACTTCACCTTGTGCAAATTAGTCCTGTTAGACATGGAATTTAAGAAAGGAAGATGGCATACACTAGCAACAACTGTCTTAAATGTGGAAAAGTTCTTCATGTTGTAAGCGTCCAATTCTTTGTATGCAGAATGAGCAAATTTAACAATATGGCCCATTCAAAATGTGGTCATAGCTGGAGCTGATACTGGTTTTATGCACAGTGGTTTTTGTTAGAATGCACAGCTTAAATTGAACTCCTTTTCTTTTTAAAATGAAAGTATGGTTTTAGGAGAGAATTTAACTCTCCAGAGGAATGCTAGATAGACAGTTCTGCATACCTTGGCACATCCTTAGAGCAGTGATATTTCAAGGTAGTTTATGATGACTTCCCAGAGTTTATTAATCCTCCAAAAGGAGGAGCAGTTTGAAGATTAAGGTGACAGAAGAGGAGCTGTATGGTTTCAGGACTAGAAGGTCTCTATGGAGTATTCTGAGTGGGATGCAGAGCTGTACATCACATATATATCAATTTTTATCTTACCCTGTAGTAAGCAACTATTTCTCCTACAAATAAATAAATAAATAAATAAATTTTTAAAAAGATGGGGGCAGGAGGGAAGAAAATCATGGGGACCTATGTCACAGGAGGATTTAATCTTTGCATGTGGGCTGCAATTATTGCCTTCAGGACAAGATTGGCATTAGTCTGAATGAGCTTATTTTGCTGAAAGCAAATCTAAGTTAGGATCCTCAATAGTGGGACTGCCAACACTGCAACAATTTGTTCAGGTCATTCCTGTCATCTCTTTCTAGGAATGCTTCACAACACTGTAGTCACTAGAGCTCTAATCCAGAACTCAGCTGAAGTCGTTAGTTTTTCCATTTTTCCATGAATTACAGTTTAAGTTCTATTCAGAAAATTCTGTAAGGTCCCTTTTGGTTGCTACAAATGACAGTTCTCAGGTCACCCTGAGTGTATGATTATGGGAAAAATTAAAAAATTATTTGAAATGCCCTGCTATAGCTCACATTCTTATGGAAATTGAAGGTGGAAAAGACTGTAGCATGCAACATCCTACAACATCCATTCTATTCCCTAGGAATGCAGAAGCTCTCTTTCTGTTACAACCTGCAATTGTTTGCTCAATCTAAGTAAGTTACATGAATTTCATCATGTTCTGTGTTTCTTTATAATTTTTAAAATTATTAGAGAGACTATGGTAAATGGCCCAAAATTGAACAATTTTTCATTTAATTCTGTAAATTCTACTTTGTAAGCAATTCCTCATCCACTGTGATGATAATTTCCAGGGACTTACATGGAGTTCTCTCGTTACTTTCAATTGTCTGCAACGTTTGTGCTATATCTGGGGTAGACATCTTTGAATCCCCTAACACTCCTACAAGAGAAATAGGCTCTTGTAGTGCTTAATTTAGCTTATCCTGATATGAATGTTTGAAATAGGTGAAGCAAATACCTCACTCACTCCAGATAAGTTTATAGAACAAGCTAGTGCATGTACTGTTGCAAAGGCATTAATGTTAACACCTTTCAAACCTGGAAACACCGCAAAACATTCAGTCAACAAAGTTTGGAGGAGTTAAATTAATATGTGAGGGGAAAGGATATAGATTATTTAGCCACCAGTGCTTGAAAGGATGAAGAGTTTAAGAGGTAAATGAATTGCAAAGGCAGAAGGTATTAACTGCAAGCTTGGAAGGGGCCGATAACATGATAGAAAAGGTTAATATAACCTTTTGCATACCTCATTGGGCAATAAATAACTCAATAAATTAATTTACAAATAAATAAGGAGCAACCAGCATATTTCTACTGTAAAATTCCATTTCTTCTGTACATATTTGTCACATTAATTCAAGAGCTCTGGGGAAAAGGGTATGATATGAAGTCTTGTCTTTCCAGTTGCAAGTAATCATCTGATCATATTTAAACTTTATGCATGAATTAATGGTAGAATGATGCAAATAAATATATTTATATTTATGTTAGGATATGGAATTTCCTCTTTTGATTTGAGCTTCCAAGAAGAATACTGAAATTTGGTTCATTTGCCATTTTCCAACTAGGATATTGAATTAGAACAAGTGGGTCAGCATTTTTCTTCTTCCCGTTAGCTTTTTATTTCTTATATTCGTCATGGTCATATTGTTCAAACAATTTACCTGAAATGAAAGTGGCACTAGAATCAATATCTGTGATGCACGATTTTTGCAGCATAAACACGGTTGTTCTATTAACAAATTTGCACACAGAATGAAGTGGCATATTTGCCAGATTTCATTCAATCTGGTTTGGGGGGAGACAAGTGAAATTGACAAATTAGGTTAAGTTAACAGTGTTTTTCTTGTCAGTTTCATGGTCGAGTCATTTTTCAATGACATTTAACTTCATAAGTGTAATTCATGGCTCTTTGGGGGTTTACGGTACATATTGTTCAGAAAACTCCTTGACCTCCTTTTTTGTCCTTAGGGATATAAATTGCTTTCAGTACCCTTTTTGTCAAATCTACAGAGGGCCCAATACTAAATGAGCTCTAATGATCTGAGCTGCCAAGGGGCTGTGAGTAAGTCTAACAGACTCACTTGCTAAAGTGTGTTGTCCTTTGTTTAAACACCAAAGAAGCTCCATTTATAATTCTTTATTAAGTACCATTGTAAACCCTTCTAAAGAGTTGGGGGCAGAACCTTTGTAGCGTAAAGCCAGTGTAGTTTTATTACAGATAATCAAGTTATGCTAATTTTAGCAGCTGAGGATCTGGCTTGGAGATGATAACCCAAAGAGTATGTGTTAAAATAGAGCAAGGGTCGAGTTCAGAGTACAAGGTCTCTTCAGTTTAAACTTTGAAAGCTATTACTTAATCATACAAACCAAAACAAAGAAAAAAGTATATTTGTCTAGAACAATGGACAAAGAGGGTTCGTGTGAGTTGTTATTCTATAAAACAAAGGTATTTGGGGCTTAGGGGAATTGATAGGCTTATTCTGTGTGAATAAATCTCAGCTGCATGCATCAGTAATTCAGCAATAGGAAATGGTTCATATAGGTAGAAGGAGGTGGTTTTGTTCTACATCGCTTTCATGAGCACTTCCATTTGAGAAGGAAGGTGGTGTGTTTCTGAAATGTGGAATACATTAGGACTACTCAGTATTTTCTAAAGTTAACTGTCCTGCAACGTACGACAGAAAGTTACACACATTACCCATTTGAATTTCCCATTAAAATTAAACCTTAAAAGAAAAAAACAAGTTTAGGGGAGAGAGTATCATTCATCCTTAAGGTAAATTGACATAAATCTTTCTTTTTGTTCTTTATTTCTTTATTAAATCAGGTTATTTTGTCACAACTGTCTGTGTTGGGTATAACAGACATAGCATGAATGATATAATCTAAATTTTGGAGTTTCTGATTTTGTTGAGCACGGAGGTGACTAACAGGAAGAAGGTTCTAGATGATTTTAGAACAATTTATGAATTTATGATTTTTTTTTGTGAACTGAACCACAAAATAATCATGGTTTATGGGTATATACTAAGTTGCACTATAGTATTTCCATGTCCAATTAATTGAGCACTGAATCTTAAAAAAAATAATAAGAAGAAATTGCCAGGGTCATTATTACAGTGAAAATCTTATAAGAAGATTTTTTGTTACCGTAATTTCTGTGCTACTGTAATCTGAATTAAAATCAAATATGAGTTATTCTGATAACTCATGTTATTGTATCTCTAAATGGGCCTGCTTCAATCCTCTGAGTTGTATCTAATCTATATACTTACTTTAAATGCTCTGTAACTTCATAAAATAATTTGACAAGACTGTTTATAGAAAAGTTGAGATTTGAAAGATCAAGTATTGTTCATATAAGGCAGAGTGAAAATGTCTCTGCCTTAATTTAGAAGGATCAATTTGGAAAAGATGAGAGATAAATCACTTTCATTATAAACTCAGATCTTCCTAGAGCTGCAAGAGAGAATGCCAATCATTTTTGGTTCTTCTCTTGTGAGCTGATATATACCAGTCATGAGATGAATTCATTTTATTTAGGACATAATTTTGACCTTGACCCTCAATTCCACAGCAAAAGGCAGTTGGTGAAGCCTCAATGTTGGTGTTCACGGTAGAGCATAGTGCACTTACACAAATTAATGATACAAGATAAAAATTTGGAAAACCATAATGTTACTGATAGAACTTACTTGAAAGACACCACATAACATTCCTTTATTTGTCAGGACTGAAATGGCAGAAGAGGTTTTATGGATGATTTTCCATCATAGCTGTTTTCACTTTCTTATGCTGTTGTTTTCAGATAAAGATGAAATCTGTATGTACATCTGTTTTTCTTTATTTCTTAAAAGAATTACCTGCTGGGTAGAACATGGATTGAAATAACAGGGACTCTCAGTTTCACTGCTTAGCTACTAATGGACTAGGAATAAAATGTTCAAAAGTGCCTGAATAATTTAAAAGTCTAAAAGAAGCTAAAAGCCATGGATAATTTGACTTCTAGGTATTTAAAGTAGATACCACAATCTTATGTTCACAATGGTCTAGCAAGTATATAGTAATAATAGTAGTATTGATAAAGATACTCCCAAGTAAAAAAAAAATATTATTTGAAAAGTGCAATTCGTTTGATGTTGTTATTTTTTTTAAAGCGAGGAGAGGGGGCCAATACATTATTCCACACAGTGTTTAACTCAGCAGAACTTGTGTGTTTCAGAATGCCCCCAGACTAAGGCTTATGTGCGGAGCTCTTACTATGTATATTTAACTTTTATTTTTAAGTCTGTGTAGTTCTTCACTCCAGAATTTCTGCAGTAAACTTTTGTTTTTCAGACACACCCTGTTTTATATTCTGCTAATGTAATTACTTGACGCTTTCCAGTTCTCAGACCAGATAGTTACATGACTTAAACAACCACAGTGAATTTACTTTATTTTGTCCCAGTGATATGAACTTTTCAAGGTACCACTACTACATATTTTCCAGACATTATGTTGTGGGAACTGACCTTTCTCTACATCGTTTTTGTTTTCTTCTTTAGTTGATTGCTTAGATCCAACGTGCTCCAATCATGGAGTCTGTGTGAATGGCGAATGTCTCTGCAGCCCAGGCTGGGGTGGAATAAACTGTGAGCTTCCCAGAGCCCAGTGTCCAGACCAGTGTAGTGGGCACGGTACATACCTGTCTGACACTGGTCTTTGTAGCTGTGATCCCAACTGGATGGGTCCCGACTGCTCTGTTGGTAAGAAGAATATTTCTTCTGATTTTGCAATAGTGCACCTATTTCATTACAACGTGAATGTCAGAGGCAAATTTGAAATACAAATAAATTAGAAAATTTTATTTGGAACAAATTTGGTCCTGTTCTGGATTATGCTGGAAAGAAGCATTATATGTGTGTATATATTTTAAATACTATTTAAATACTACTTTTTAATACATTCCTAATTTGGGACTGACAGCTGGGGTGGGGGTGTAGGGTCAGGAGTCTGTATTTCATTCTGCAACTGACTCTCTTGTGGACTGAGAAAGTTCAATAACTGCTTTATAGCCGTTTGGCAACTTCAGCTGAAAAACTCCACAGCAGTGATTTATAAATATGTTCATAACATTTGGGGAATGCAAAACACTCCAACTGAGTATATTTTCAGGGTTTGCTTCATTGTGCATCAAAATGCTACCCATTTTATGAAAAAAAAAAAAAAATTACAAAACAGAAAACTCTCGCATATAGGGTATTTTTTGATTCTTAGTTGTATATGGAATATTTAAAGAATTAATTTTAGGGCAGAAGACACAATAAAAACCAAGCACCAAAGTCTAAACTAAAAAATTTCATCCTTTCCAAAGCTGCAGTTGACTTGAATATTATAAAACTTGTTTATTCTAACAGAAGGAGCTAAGGAGAAAAAAAGCAGTTTTGACAAGACAGCAAATGTTCTATTTGTGGGGGAAAAAATACTTGAAATTTTGCATTTATATTGCAAGCTGAATCTTGAGATGGAATAGTAGGCCATAAGCAAGACTCTCAAAGTAATTTTTACAGCTTTCACATGTATTCAGTTATTTCTTAAGATTAATGACTCAGAATACCCCACCAGTGAAATGAGTATCAAGATATGTTTTTTTCTGCTTCATGCATCAGCAGCAGCTAGAAAAATACATGAATGAGAATTTAAACTGTCATTTTCTTTGATGCATGAGGCAAAAGACTCCTCTGCTTTTCCACAACTTCTGCTGGCAGAGAGCTGTAAGAGAACTTGGGAGCAAGATGCTGGATATCTCACCATTATTAGTAGTAGGATTCCAAATACTTTCACTTGCAAGTATTTCTTCCAGTCACTCCTAGAGTCTTAAGTGACCCTGAATTGTCACCATTCTCTGCTGAATGTGTCTTAGGTGAGTTTTGTTCTCGTTCTTAACAAATAAATGTCTGTATTAAAATCAACACAGGTTCAGGTTTGAGTAAAACAGAACTACATGAACTACAGAACTACTTCTGCAGTGCTGACAGACATCGAGGAAGCTACCTGTGAAAATTGCTTGTATCAGAATAGAGAACACAGCTCTACAGCGATCTGCCCAGCATATAGGAACAGAATTTTGTAATGACTCTTTCATGTAATTTACCATGTTCTTCAGCAAAAGCTGACTGCTGGGTTTGATCCGGATACGAACAGGCCAGTTTTTGAGAGCATGTAGTTTTCAGCAAAAGCGTATTTCTTCTACCCAATTTTACTTAATGACTTGGGTTGCTACTTCTGCCCTATTGCCACTGGCATAAGCTAGCTGTAATCTTTCTTCTTTTTTCCTCCTAGAAGTGTGCTCTGTAGACTGTGGCACTCACGGGGTGTGCATTGGCGGAGCATGTCGCTGCGAAGAAGGGTGGACAGGAATGGCGTGTGACCAGCGAGTGTGTCATCCCCGTTGTACAGAGCACGGAACTTGTAAAGATGGGAAATGTGAATGCAGAGAGGGCTGGAATGGGGAGCACTGCACCATTGGTAGGCAAACGACAGGCACCGAAACAGGCACATATTGCTTTCTTTTCATAAATCGTAGAAACATAGTTATTGTTGTGTATTGTAATAGGCTGTTCCTTTAAGGACCCTAATGCTTTCAAAAATTAGCTCAGACTCCAAATGTTTGGGCTGAAATGCAGATGAGCTCTTGGAATGATTTAAAATCGATAACAAACTGATTTGGGGGGAAAAAATCCACAGCAAATGAACGTTAGTAAGTAAAGATGTAACAAATGGTCCATCACGGTACCATTTCAGCCAAGCTTTTCAAACTTAACTAAACATTCCTTTGTGTGAATGGCATCCTTTTTAATTTCCTGGTCTGATGCATCAGTGCTTTCCTGCTATTATACATCGCATCTGAAACACACCACCACCATCTCCACACAGAGCAGGGGTCAAGTTGTGGAGGAATAAGTGCTCCTGGTGTTACAGAAATAGCTCCCTAGCATTTTCCTGTGTTGTGCTGTGACAGTGGGCATGGTGTTTGCATATAGACAATCACAGCATGGGAGGGCCTTGTCAGTAGTGCAGCATGCTGCTGTACCCTTTCCTAATAGCGTGCTGCTCAGTACAGCATTGGCATCATGCAGCGTGCCGTGACTAACACGATTGCATCTCAGCTGTGATGTGTCAGCCTGGGAAGTTCAAAAAGGTTATACTTACACAAAGTAATGATGCTCTATCCTCTCAATTACAGCACTTGAAATCTTATTTTGAAGAAGAATTAATTGTTTCTAAATGAAGTTCTTTATTTTGTCACTACAAGCAGTTAGGTTGTGTGTTTGGACTACCTTGCAAAGTTACTAGGAAAAAAAAAAAGTTATTTTCCCTGTACTGTAGTCAAAAATGGGAAAATCTAAATGGTCACATCTCTTCTGAGAAGCATGAGCAAGATAATCTGGAGTAAGAGTATCCAACTGCAAGCTGAGACTATGTAAGTTTCAGGCAAGTGTATTTTCCCCTGAAAAAAATTTGGAGGACTTACCGTAAAAGAAACCTACAGAGTTCAAATCCAAGATCATCTTTAAGTGGTGAATTTACCAAAGAAAATAAGTAGGTCAATTGAGATTTTCTTGGCAATCAGGGACCCTAATGGGACAGTCCTATTACAAGTGAATTGTTATTTCTTTAATTAAAAGTATGGTGAGATTATTGCATCCCTCAAGCTGTTTTTCTTTTTTCATTCCCCTCTGACTTCTTCCTGAATATTCAATCCATTTCAGATGCACACATGAGTTGGAAACTAAAAGACTGTGTTTATTGGGAAGAAAAAAAAAAAAAAGATTCCTATTTTTAGGGCATATCCATAAATGTTGTGGTGCTGCATGCTTCTACCACACTATGCTAATATGATTTAAATCAAAGCTTTTATGACTGAACACTTTGTCACCAGCAAAGATGCAGAGTGTTTTTTCACAACTGCTTTCTGACTTCCATCATATCAACCTCTCTCTACTGGATTAATCTAGGCATTTTGTTTTAATATTAAGTAATTACCAGATCTTTACAAAATGCCTAGTTTATAAATATTTTTGCATTAAGTTGTCTAATAATTGCTTATTTTAAAAGTTGCTTCTTTGTCCTTTTTTTTTTTTTTTTGCTTTATAGTCCTCTAGAAATATGCCTGTTTAGAGGTAATTAATGTATTTTAAGTCTTCATTACTGTGCACACAAAAAGATGCCTTACACCAATGCTGTGAAAGAATTCTGAAATTTACAAGTTCGACTAGTGAACCCTGAAGTAAGAGTTTTAGTTTAATTTTCAGAACTATGAAATAAATATTTTCGCTATTGCAGAAGTATATAAACAATTCTTCTTTTGAGAGAAAGGGCAGTGCTGTTGAAATGATTAAGTAAATAAGTGTAAGCTTTTTTTGCTTGTTTGGTATGTATTAGAAAGATTTCTTTTAAATTTAATATGGTTCTGCCTGCAGCAAAGATTAGACTACAGGGAAAAAAAATAGGTTTGCCCTTGTAATTATCATACATTTAAATTTGTTCAACCATTATTTTTGTATTGTATATACACAGATATTTTTATGACTGGGCTGTATTAGTAAGAAATCTGATACGTTCATATCATCAGGCCTGATTGTGAGGCTATTTACAAAAGCACAAAACATGAGGCCAGAAATGGAATTCCGTTCAGAGGAAAATCACAGCTTGATTCCATGGGTTTGTTTTTTCTGGCTTGGTTTTAACACAAAGGCTCATGTTGTATGGGGCTGAAGGGGAGAAAGAGTTTGAGCAATAAGGACCATAAAACTAATTTTTGCCACTACTTGTACAAAAAATGCTAGAAGTTAACACTGGGAAATTGGTCCTTAAACAGTGGATTGGTACTTGGATCAAAGATGAGGCGCTCAAGGTATTTTCAACAGCAGTGTGGAGATCTAAAATGTACTTAAATTTTTCAGAAAATCATTTTAACTTAGTGTATTTCCTTCATGGGTTTAGCTTTCAACTAAAAGGTTGGCAGACCATTTTGTGTCAGAATTAGTCACTAAGGAATGTTTACCATAATAATATTCAAGAATGCAAATTTGATGTATTTGAACCTTGACATAGTTCTGTTCAGAAGGCACCTGGCAAACCCCACAGTCTGTCCAAAGACAGAGCAAGGCCAGACCAGAGTAAAAAAGCATATGAGCAGAGGCTGAATTTCTCCCTTCCCAGAACACAGTTTGAATTCTTAAATACCTGTGTGAGGTCCTCATTAGCCTCACAATACATTTGAGAATTTCTTTACTTCAAGCAGAAAAATGGGATTCTCATAGGAGAATTTATTTACTCTGAGTATCCATTTATTGCTAGAACTAGCCTGAAATCCTTTCAAGTCAGCAGAAAGACTTGCTTTGATTTGAGTGACTTAGGCCAAGCCCACTTAGGACAAATTGATCCATTTTGTGAAGAAAGACAGGTTTCTACACATAGACCACCATTTATTTTATTTTCTTTGTGTTTCCTCAGCAGTTTCTTGTGCTATATTCTCATCATAGTGGAAAGAAATCATTATAGCAACCTGCAGGTATCCAAGTTTGTTCAGGTTATTTTATTCTATTTAATATAAAATTAGTCCTTTATAGACAGCAGACGAAACGCGCACTCTTTTTGGCTTTTCCATGTTGTGTACCTAAGCTCACAATCCCCTCTCATGAAATTTAACAAAAATGTGGTTTCTCTCTGTTCTGCCTGTATTGTAGGAAAATAACTCTGAAAAGTCGCCAGGAATGCCACTATTAGCTCACTATTAACGAGCTGTGCAAAGCAGCTTTTACCTATGTGCATCAATAGAATTATATATAAAAGTCGGTGAACACAAATTCCTCGCTACACGGGTTTTGAAGAATCCACATCCAAAGAATAAAAAGTGAAAGTATTGGTGCCTGGTCTTACTGAAATGCTGTATGTATCAGAGCAGAACTGTGCACCAGACACTACATTTCATTTTGCTACTTCAGGTAGGGAGAAAAATTGCTTACTGGAGTGATGATAAAGAAAATGAATCTTCTCCCAGTGCAAAAATAGACCTGTCAGGATATATTTATTAAGTGATTACTATTCAGTGATTGCAATTATGGAGGAAGTTCTAACTAAATAATAGAGGGTAATCTAGATGAGGAAAAGATTATTGGAAAACTAATAACAAAGCAAAAGAATAAGATACAGCAGTTGCTAAATCTTGAACCAATTTCATGCCAGAATTTTAAAATGGAGGATTTATCTTTTCCTTGAAGCATCTGAGTGTTGTTAAAGCATGCTGTTATGAAACAGGTCTGTTACTTTCACTGAAAATAATATTTGGATGTGTAAGACTATTGTTTTTAATCTATTGTTGGGGATGTTCTCCACATAAACTGCCAGAGTTGTACAATAGGAACAGTGTGATATATAAGGAGATCTTAAGGAACAGACACAAATATAATTTTAAAAGCGAAGGACCATCTGTAATCCATATCCCTGTAGTACGAAATACAATTGTTATTAAGTCATTGGTAAAAATCTTGTTGTGAGACCAGAGAAATCAGGATTTCATTCTAAATATTTATGAGTAAACTTTAAAACACTGCAAACATATTTTATATTGTGAGCTCTCTCAACAGAAGTGTATACAGAAGATTGTCTTCATGCCAACCTGTCATATTCCCAAACCCTTGCTCTTTTCTGCTCACATCCTACAATAACGTAGGTTAAACACTCCTGCTTTCAGATCGAAAGTGGTGTAAGATTGCAGTAAAGGCTGCTCGATGGTATGGATACTGTGCTGCAGATTAAGATCAGAACAGTTCTTACCTTTTCTGCTCGTTTTCTGTTTTTAATGCAAACAAGCTGTAGCCCCTTTGACAGCCACAGAAGCTGAACTTCCTAATATCTACCTGCTAGGCAAAACAGAAGCAGCGGTAATGTGAGCATCTCCGCAGACTGCTTCCTGCCCTTGTGATTGTTTTTCAGAATCTAACTCCAGAGGCGAGGATCTGCCACTCTCTTTCCCCCACTGAGTCCTTAGCCTTTATACTGAAAATGTCAAATGGTAGGAAATGTTCCTTAGCAAATAAGGGATTCAGAGATCTGTATTAGTCCTGTACCTTGTCTTCTGGGTTGTCAGGGCCTTGAATAATGAAGAAGGATTTGAGGGAACTGGAATCCTGTACCCTACATAGTGGGAAGTAACCTAAAATCCTTAGCTTTATGAAAATGTGCAGAAAAGGAAAAAGGACTTTCTGTCTGGGATGATTAAGATAAGAGGTTTGAGTTTAAGTTACAGGATGGGAGATTTGGGTTAGGTGGTAGGAAAAAATTTGCAGCAGTAAATGAAAAACTGAATGAGATTGTCTGAACGAGTCGTGATACCCTCATTGATGGAGCTTTTAACAATAGTTTAGACAGATGTCTGTCAGGAATACCATAGAATAATTCATCCTGCCATGGGTCAGAAAGCTGACCAGAAAATCATTGAACTATGCAAGCTCTCTTCCAGT